TACTAGTATTATTATTATTATTATTGTTATTATTATTACTATTGTTGTTATTATTGTAGTTGTTGTATTATTGTTATCTATAATTTATATAATTAACCTCCCTGTGGTTCGACCCTACTCTTGTTGGGTTATTTATTACTTCGACACTCCTGCACTTGGGAGAAGACATCAATCTTTTGGTCGTGTCAAGTTTTTGATGCCATTTCCGAGGAGGTAAATTCTTGTACAAATTATAGTATTTATTTTATTTTCTCTTTTCAGTTTTATTGTATCTAACTTGGTTTTTTATTTCTTCTTCCTTTTATTCTCTTCCTACACTAGCATTAGAGTGTGGTCACGTACATTAAGTGACAAACTTTGTAGGGTATCCTCATTATTTTCAGAAAAAAATGGTCAAAAAAGATAACCAGTCGCTTCATAATGAGAAAAATGAGAATAACCATGTTAGAACACTTAGAGACCACATGAATCCCACAAGAACAAGTGCACCATCATGCATAGTTTTCCCTCCTAATGCATCTCATTTTAATTTTAAGCTCAACTTTTACCTTCTTTTCATAGCTTAGATTTAGAAAATCCATAGTTGCATTTAAGAGAATTTGAGGAGGTCTGTAACACCTATAATGACTCAAATTGTAGCATGAACACCATCAGATTAAAGCTTTTTTTATTATTATTATTATATGGGTGAACTTTAAACAGTTTCTGGGTTGCATGATAGATTCAAACTTCTTCATTGTTGCTATAATTTAGACTTGAAAACAGCCTTATTAAGACCAGAGTTTCACATGAAAGTTGTAGGCTTATGTCTTACCTTTTCATCCATATAAAGTAAGCCTAAATGGAGGTCTGTAACACCTATAATGACCCAATTACCAAATAATGTTTCAATTTGGACTACACCAGCATCTCTTTTCTAAGTTTGACCATCTTTTTGTCCTTATAATTTCAGTACTTAAACTCATCAATCAGTCCTTTCATTTATGTAATAGACCTGCATTTAAGATGAACATTTACCACAAATTAAAGGTATCTTATATTATTAGATATGTTGTTATAAAACATACTTTAGTCAAGGAGTTATTGATACTTCAAGTGCAAAATGACGATACCATGATAAAAATATACTTTTAAGTACTAATTTGCGAGCTTGGGGTGGTGGTTGGTCTTTTTGCGGCTAGTACCCAATTCTATTTTGGGTCCTTAGCCAAGCACCACGTGGCGCTTGGGTTGTCTGCCCATAGGAGGGAACTTAAACATCATGTGTCCCAACTTGGTTTTTTTTTTTCATATTAATAATAGTTTTTTAAAATTTATTGATGATAATAATAATATTTATGCTCTTATAAATTTTAATGAAAATGCTAAAATTTTTAAAATATAAATAATAATATTTTTAGTAGCAATAATATGAACTATTATAAAAATTATATTATTCATAACACCAAATTAATATAATAATATTTTAGGGATTAATACTATTAATTATACAAAAAAATTAATATTAAGAGAAAAAATAATAATAGTTTTGAGATCAACACTATTAATTAGACTAAAAAAATAATAATATTTTTTATATTAAGAAAAAATATAATAATTCTTTTAATATCAATTATACAAAAAAAAAATCAACAAAATAGACAATAATATTTTTACAATTAATACTCTAAAAATTAATTATAATAAAAAAATAAAAAAACTAAAAATAATATTTTTAATACCAATACTTGTAATTACACTAAAAATATAGGTAGGTCAAGCGCCACGTGGCATTTGGACAACATCTAAAAGGAAGCAGACCAATCACTAGGTGGCGCTGTGTTTACCTAGCCCCAAACATATAACCCAAGTGCCACCTATGCGCTGCCTGAGAAGGCGTGCTTAGAGCTTGCAGGTTACAGCCTCCCTAAATATCTCTAGCAACAGTGCAAGCACCCACAGTGTACAATATCAGCGCTACACTGCAGTATATCATAATTCATAGTAAAAGCTCTCACAATCCACAATAAAAACACTTATAATGTATTCATAATGTAGCACACTTATAATAAATAGTAACTCATGCTTAAATAAAAACACTTATAATGTATTCATAATGGAGCACAGTATAATTTACAATAAATTTACTTATAATAAATAGTAACTCATGCTTCAGTGAAATATTGATCTACTTTTATTATAGTTAATATAAAGAATCATTCATTATCCATTCCACAAGTTAAGCGGATTTTTAGTTAGAAGTTTGCTGAGCAGTTGAAAGTCTGTCAAGCAAAATAATTTACCATAATAATTAATATAATTACCATTAACGTTTTTGTTTTTTGTTTTTTCTTCTTCTTTTTAGGTATTGTTTATTTATGCTGCTGAGTAGTGTTTTTTTTGTTTGTCAAAAACTTAATTTTTTAATTTAAAATTAATTTCAAAATTAATTTTTTAAAAAATAAAAAATATTATTTAATATTTTTTAGCAAAACAACACTTTAAAAAATAACTATTATCATAATATCAAATACTATATAATTAATAGCCTCCATTTTCAATGTTTTCTTTTTTTCTCTTTTGTATTTTTGTTTTTTTAAACAAATTAAGTTATAAGAAAATATAAAATTTTATACTATTCACCGAGTAATAAGTGGTGTCTTAAATTATAGTATTTATTGCTTTTTAAAATGCTTTTTACTTTAAAATATATTAAAATAATATTTTTTTAAAAAGTTTATTTTTAATATTAGCATGTTCAAACAATTTTAAATAATAAAAAATAATTTAAAATAAAAAATAATTTTAAAAAATTTTAAAAATATATTTTGAATGCAAAAATAAACAATCTATGTAGTGTTATGAGACGACGAAAAAAAAAAAAAACAGGTTTTCCATGCATGGTGCTGTGGATATATCATTTGTACTCTGAGACTATATTTTCACTGTGAAAATGCTTTTATTGTCGTGGGGGTGCGCAAACATATTTATATATATGATCTCTGTCATCTTCTCAGGCCAAGCAAGGCTGGAACTCCGGTTTTTCTAATCCATTGACCACCACGAAGGAATGCACCGGCGGTGAATTGAAGAGCTTCATTCCTTCTCAGGAAATGAAGAGTTTTCCACCTGACCCTCCTTTTAGTTGCTGCTCCAGGTCCAGAGTTGGCATACTCAGCATAGTAGAGAGTGTCAAGAAACTGGTTTCCACTCCATGGTGCCCATCCATCAGGCTGAATGAAGTCTGCTAGTTGTGTTTCCATCACAACAGTCCTAGAGAATGCCTTCCACGGCCTCCCCAAGTATGTCTTGATGTTGAACCTCACGGGGACAAGTTTCTGCTCAGGGACAATCCTGCAGTTATGAATGACAATTCCTCCAGGTTGTCCCCTCTCTTTCCGGCCATCAGCCGTCACCGTGTTGAATTGGCTAGGGTTTGGCCTTCGGACAACGATCATGGAGTTTTGGATCACCACTGATCCATAACCAAAGAGGAAATCCACCGTGCCAGAAAGGACACAATTGCGGTAGAATTGGCGCCCCGCTTGGTAACACAATGTGTCTTGATAACCATTCAACCTGCAGTTGTAGAATGCTGACATATCTGAATTAACACGGATTGCAACAGCCTGGTGGCCATCAGGACCGGCAGTGTTGGAAAATCCCATGTTCTTGGCGATGAATCCATCTGCTTCAACAACTGCACCAACAGTGACAACAAAATCAGATTAAATATTATAGATAAACCATTCAAATTAGAGGATATTAAACGAGGAGAAACTTTTGACTAGTCCATGAGTTGAGTGATGCACTCACTAAATGTAGCGGTCTTCCAGGTTCCTATGCCATCTTTTGCAAAGTTCTTGTTTCCAGTGACGATGGTCCTGCGGGCACCATCACCATAGATGAACACATTGGGCTTGTCCTTGGTCACAGTAACATACTCACGATAGATCCCTGCCTTAACATAGATAACATATCGGCCCTTGAGACCCTTAGGGTATGCGGCAAGTGCTGCATTGATGGTCTTGAATTTCCCACTGCCATCATGAGCCACAACTGCATTTGGTCTAGCCCCGCCATTGCCGCGTGAGGCCAAAAGCTTACGGTCAGCAGCAGACATCCAGCTGGGATAACCATCAGCTTGAAGAAGCCGACGAGAGGTGCTGGGAACATTGAACTTGAGCCCCAAGGAACCAAGAACTTGTGAAAGCCCGGCAAGGATATTCAGAACGTTGTCTGTGAGCTGGCTCCCATAGTCCGTGCTATTTTGCACTTGAGCCTTCAAGGGGCTGTTTTCCTCAAATCCATCCAAGCACATTTCTTGGTACGCAATAATTGAGCTCAACCATGTTCGATAATCATCCGCATGGTCTGATAACGACTGTAAATCAGTGCCTCCCACCTTTGACAATGTGTCCTGAAGCCGCTCAGAAGCATTTTGCAATAACTCTTTGCAGTCATTCAAGGCCATTTTGGCACGGGGCTCATCACTATTGTTCTTGACTACGAGATCATCAGTCAAATTGGAAGATTTCTTCAATGAATCCGAGATGGCTAATATGCCTCCTTTGATTAGTTCTTTGGGATCGGTAGAGTTCACAGCGCTAAGGGTGTTGGTGCAAGCCTCCTTGTAATAAGTAGGCTGGCACAGTGTGCCAACAGCCTTCATTTGCGGAGACAAGCTCTCTGTATGTTCAACGGATCCACCGCTGCGTTGGACAGTAGCCACCACGCCAATGATCACACCCACGACAAGGATCAGGGAAATCCCTGTAACAACTAATTTGCCTAACATATTCTACTAATCAATTAATCAATCTTATAATGTTAGTACTTTTCAAACCTTTCCTTCAGGATTCTGTGCCAAGGAAAGGGGGCACAAAATCCGAAGGAAAAACAATGATGGAAAGGATGATATCCTCCCTTTGTCCTGCTTAAAGATGGTTACCATGGCGAGTTTTATAGGCCACGGCTTTCCTTAAATTATGGGCCTTTTTTTTTCTCTTCATGCAATGGACATGAAAATATCGAACGGTAGACCATTGTTTCAGTTAGCTTGACATGGAAGACAGGGAAACAGCAGCGAATATAAAGGGTCAAGCTGTTTATTAGACCATGCATGCTAAACTTAGGGCAAACAATTCAGAGAAAAAGATCAGCAGAACAACTTCTGTTTCTCATTTTTGCATGTCTGGCTTGACCAAATAATAAAGATATGGTCTGGTCTCCTAGCTGTCTCTTGCAACACATCAAACCAAGTTCGATCCTTTGACCTCAACTTATTTCGTTTAAGGAAAATTATTAGTCTATTGTTGTCCTGTTAATGAATAATGAGAGAATTTGGTGTAAATTAATTAAGATTCACACCTAATTTCATAAAAAGCATCATGTGCGTGTATATATATTTTGCTGAATGATTTGAAGATGCTAATAATAAAATTGGATTGGTTATAGAGTAACTTTTACACATATCATGCTTGCCCAATCATATTAGGTTACCTTACTAAATGGTCTCTAAAGATCTCTCGTTACTCGGTGAGAAGTGCCTATTAGACTGGACTGGGGTTTACAAGGCGCTAAAGTATGGATTGTCATGAGAGTTTGTTGGCCTCACGAGTGTTTCTCAGGTCAATTACTATTAAGACATCACTAGATTCCAATGCTAGCATAAGACAATGTGTATGCATAATAAAATGTAATGTAATGGTTGCACATGCATAAATTCATATCCAATCCACATATATATGATAACAAAATATATGAAAAATATCATCAAATCCAATAACTCAGCTATATAAGCAATCATCTTTCAAACAAACAAATAAATCCTAACTCTTACTAAGTAGTCTCTAATGGAGGACCAATAATTGAGGAATAAGTATATGAAAGGAATGGAGGGGTTGCTTGCTAACAGAAGAAATGAAGGAGATAGGGCTAGTGCTTTTTTTAGGTTTTTTTTCTTTTTATGTGTTTGGCTAGTTTCTCTCTCTTTTTTTCTCTTTTATTTTTTGGATTTTGTTGCCCACCTCTCATGATTTTTTCTTCTTCTTTGGTTATTAATTCTCCTAAGTTTTTGAATTTTTTATATCTTTTGATTTTTAAAAATATATTGGAAAAGAGGTTAAAACGGGTAACAAAAGCTCTAATGGCTTAATTCAAGTGTGTTACCTTCTTATAATTGCATATTTTACTCCTAATCCATGAATTCTTATGTAATGATGACTTTCATATTCTACACCTTAACATTTCCTAAAACAATCTTATATTTTTTTGAAATAAAAAAATCCTTTCTTTCTGTGTAAATTTTTTTATTAAATAATGATATTTTCATTGAATTTCACAGTAACTTGTCGAAGATCAAGTTTCTAGAGTCATATTTTTGTTTGAAATAATTAAAAGATGGTTTATACCACATTCGATATTAATCCTCTGTCTATAATCCTCAAGAATTCTCTGCCATAAAAACTATCTTTAAAGTCTAACAACGATGGCTTGATTATTCATATTCTTGTATCTTGCATTGAATTTCCTCAAATAAGACCCTTTTGATTTCTTTCTCAACTAATTATCATTTTAATTGTCTAACCCACTTTTTAGACATGTCTAATCAATCTTATTTCAATTCGTTAGAGTATGTTAGTTCAACCATCTTATATTTAGTTTTTAATGATGTTTCGGTCCCTCACCAACTTATTTGGTGAATGGATAGAAGTACTTTATTATTTTTATTGATCATTTTTATGAAACCCTGGAAATTTATAATTTAAATATATGGATTTGTAAACTCTCATATAAATATAAGATTGAAAATGATATGATCTCAATAAGTGATGAAAACCAAGATAAGAAATAATAGATAAATAATAATATATAATTAAAAGGATGACCTACATAAAATGAATTTTGGTTTAGAATTTATAAGGATAGAGAAATTGGTAAAGCATTTTGATGGATAAAATAATGAGAAAAATGATAAAACATTTCTAAGAAATATGTGAGGTAATAAAGAATAAATTATAATAAAGGATAGTGCAATGAAAAGGGTAGAACTGAAGATGCAAATACCGATTAAAAATTAATGATGTTACTTTGAAACGGTAATAAGTCCGATAAACAAATAAATATGGAAATTTTAAAATAAATATATTTCAAAATAATAAAATGACCTTAAAGATTTAGAAGGATAATTGATATGATTTTAAGTGAAGATTGAATAAGAAAATTTGGATTGTTGACGAAAAGTCATGAACTTACCACTTTTACATTAGAAAGCAGAGCTCTCAATTCAATCACCGGATTGTGATAAAATTTTGCATGAAGTTTATTAATGATTAGTACTTAAAAATGTATTTTTATCAAGGTTTTATATCATCATTTTGCACTTAAAGTATCATTAAATTCCCTAACTTAAACATGTTTTATAATAACAAGTCTAATAATATACAATAGCTTTAATTTATGGTAAATGCTCATTTTAAATGCAGACATATATCACAATTCAAAAGATTGATTTATGCGATTAACTATTGAAAGTGAAAGGACAAAGAAAAGGCTAAGCTTATAAAAGAGATGCTGATTTAATTCAAACTGCAACACTGTTCAGTCATTGGGTCATATTTGAAGCTGTAGATCTTAGATTTTAGTTTGATTTATATGGCTAGAAAGTTGAGATATAGGTCTTAAAATTCATGATGAGTCCAAGACTCAATTCTACCATTTGGAAGTCTAAATCTTAGCATCAAAAGATAAGTCCGAATCTTTCCTCCAATCCAGACACTATTTAGTATTTAGCCCATATCTCGAGTTCTAGAAGTCCAAATGTACCGATTCTTTTTTTGTTAGAAAGCTAAGATAATTTTCCAGAATTTTCATGAAGGCTATTTATTCAAATTCTGATGTTTATCAATGGTATTTTATTCAGACATAAAGATAAGGATTGTCACAAAGTCAAGAGGTGGTCACCCACTCAACAATTAGTTATCAAATCAATAGTTTCAAACTTTAGCCTATAAAAGGAGTCATTTGCCATGCATTTA